TCTCTTTCCCCCGCCTCCTCGGCCAAAGGCCCGGAGGCCCGGCGGGCTGCCCGAGAGAAGAAGAAGCACCGCCCGCGGGGGACGAGGCGCTGGGGGGCTACGGAGCGCCCCCAGTAGGCAAGGGCGGCAAAGGCGAGAGCCGGCTCAAACGGCCATCCGTGCTCATTTCGACGCTCACCTGGAAGCGCCTGGTGGCCGCGTCTGCCAAGAAGAAGAAAGGCAGCAAGAAGGTGACGCCCAAGCCAGCGTCCACTGGCCCGGACCCCTTGGTCCAGCAACGCAACCGCGAGAACCTACTCCGCAAGGCCCGGGATCCCCCCGACGGCGGCGGCCCCACCAAGCCCCTGGCCGTGCCGGTGCCCACAGTGCCCGCGGCCGCCGCCACCTGCGAGCCGCCGTCGGGGGGTAGCGGGGCCGCCCCGCCGCCAGGCTCGGGCGGGGGAAAGCCGCCGCCGCCACCCCCAGCCCCTCAGGCGGCGCCACCGGTGCCGGGCGGCTCGCCACGGCGGGTCATCGTGCAGGCGTCAACGGGCGAGCTGCTGCGCTGCCTGGGCGACTTCGTGTGCCGACGCTGCTACCGCCTCAAGGAGCTGAGCCCCGGCGAGCTGGTGGGCTGGTTCCGCGGAGTGGACCGCTCGCTGTTGCTGCAGGGCTGGCAAGACCAGGCCTTCATTACGCCTGCCAACCTGGTGTTCGTGTACCTGCTGTGCCGCGAGTCGCTGCGCGGGGATGAGTTGGCGTCGGCCGCCGAGCTGCAGGCTGCCTTCCTCACTTGCCTCTACCTCGCCTACTCCTACATGGGCAACGAGATCTCCTATCCGCTCAAGCCCTTCCTCGTGGAGCCCGACAAGGAGCGCTTCTGGCAACGCTGCCTGCGCCTCATCCAGCGGCTCAGCCCGCAGATGCTGCGGCTCAACGCCGACCCCCACTTCTTCACGCAGGTCTTTCAAGACCTCAAGAATGAGGGCGAGGCCGCCGCCGGCGCCGGGGGTCCACCCAGTGGGGGTGCGCCCGCGACCCCCGTCTCCTCCTCGGCCGCCAGGGACAGCTGCGCGACCGGAGCCAAGCACTGGACTATGAACCTGGACCGCTAGGCATACCCGACGGCCGCTCCTGCCCCCGCGCCAGCCCCTGACACACACTCGGAGCCCTGGAACCATCAAGCTGCCGCCTCTGTAACCGCCGTTGCCGTTCCCGCCCCGGCCGGAGGAGGAGCCGCCCCTGCCCCGCCGGGGAAGGTGGAGGCCAGGAAGCCAGAGGCCGCGGCGTCTGGATTTGCTGGGCGTAGGGTGGGGCTGAGGGATGAACGCGGGAAGGGGACCCCCCTACCTCAACCTTTCTGTCTGCGTCCTCATCTTTCCAACTCTACCCAGGTCTCCCCTTTCCCGTCTGTGTGTGTGTCTACAAGCCCATCTTCCTCGGTTTTGTCCGTTTCCTCACTTTCTTCCTGTATCTTCATCTTTCCCCTTATCTGCCTTTCCATTTTACGTTCCTTGGGTGTATATTTCCGTCTCCATCTCACCCCATACCTATTTCTCTTTGCCCCCATTTCTCTTTCTGCACCTGTGTCCCCATCGCCCATCTTGTTCTCTTTTTCCTCGCTCTTGGCATGTGTCACCACCTTCCTTCCTGTCTGCCTCCCCCACCCTGCCTGTGTCAGCTTGCATTCATTCCCCCGAATGAGCCCCCATTCCTCCCTCCCCAAACCAAAAGGAACATTAGTTCTTAATTTGGATGGACTGAGGTGTGGCGAGAAACTGCATTCCCAGAGGCTCAGACAACCACCAGGATGGTCCTTCACCCCACCCCCACCGCCTCTCTCTACCTTTCCAACGTGTTGCATGCCGGGAGTTGGGGGAAGAGGGATGCCGACTACAAGAGGCTGACCTTTGGGAGCAAACTCAACCCGGGAGGCACCCCGGCGGCAGCGGTGCCTCAGCGGAAGGATGGGAAGAGACAGAAACTCTTCTTACTTAGGGGGAGGGGCACCCTCTTCCTTATCCTTAGGTGTTTTTTGTTTCCCCCTCTTTTAATTTATTCGGGTGTTTCTGGAGGGTGGGGGGAGGGAGGGTTGGGCAGGGAGCTGTCTGAGGTGCTGATCTGAGGCCGGACTGGAATCCTCTCGGGAGGGTACCGGGGACTGGGTTGGGCCTGGTGCGGATCCAAGGTGCCAATGATGCGGGCCGACGGCGCGGGCCGCACTGTCTCTCTGTCCGTCTGTCCGGAAGATAACTATAAAGCGCTTGAAGCGCCTGCAGATGGTTTTGCGCCGGCCTTTCTTTGGGCCCCGGGAGGGAGGGAGCAGGAATGGAACTGCCACAAGCAGGGCAGGAGGCCCCCAGGGGCCTAGTGAGGAAGGTCTGGTCCCTGAGAACTGCTACTCTTTGGTCCCATTTACTTCTATCCCCACCCCCACCTCCATTTTGTCTGACCTAGCTCCTCATTAATGGCCGATCCATTTCTGGATTAAATGATGAGGACAGCAGAAGTTGTCCCCCCTTTACAGAGTGGTCCATTGAGGCAGAAATAGCTTATTATTGTGGCTACTTTTCTCTGCTTTCATCTCTCCCCACCATATATCCCGTCAGGAGTCCAGGCAGACCTGATTTAAGTCTGTGTTCACCACTCAGGTGGGGCCTGACTGCCACACGCAGCCTCACACGCTTCCCCTCACCCACTGGACTGGTTCAAGGCTGCTTCGGCCACACGCCTACCCAGAGCAGACTTGGGAGGACCATCCATGCTTGAGATTCAGACCTGGCTCTTTATCTCCAGGGAGGCTAGGACACAGGCAACCTGGGAGACGGGAGCCATTGATTGGGGTTGAAAGAGAAATAACCTATTTAGCCTGAGATCCCTGTTTGGTTTCCCTTGCCTTCTTAGCCACATGGCTAAGCGCTCCATTCACTGTTTCATTGGCCCAAGGAAGCCTGTCTCCAGTAAAAGCGCTGGCGTCTCTGACCCTAGTCGCCGGGAGAATCCTGAGGGACCACTGGGCGAGGTCCTCAAGAACGAGGCTCGCTGTCCGTGGTGCTGACCGGCGCGCAGGGGCAGGAAGAGCCGGGTAGGGACCTGTAGGGGCAACAGGAGTTGGGGATTGGGTCTTAACTAGGTCTTTGGAAGTGGGGTGTGATCTATTCTGTTGGCGAATTACAGGAGTCTGGCCCCAAACCCAGGAATGCCGCTTCCACTTGCCCTCCTAAGAGGACAGACTTCGACTCTCCCCCAGCCTCTGCCAAGCACCCTTGGACCGGCCTGGAGCCGGAAATCCCCAGTCCAGATTTGTGAATCGAGTTCCCGGGGGAGGGGGAGAGAACTGGCGGAAGGGAAGGCGGGAGCAGCCGCCCATTGGCTGGAATTTGGCGCAGTCAGCGCGGTGCCGTCATCTCTCTTAGTTTGGAAGGAGGGAGGGAGGAGCACTTGGGTCACCCCGCGGCTGTCGCCATAGTAACCAGACTGAGCGGACGGGCGGGGCCACCTCTCTCTCCTCTCGTCTTCTAGCGGGGGAAATAGTCCTAATCTTCCTTATTTGGAACTAGTTAGCAAGACTACTTGATTGGAGTTACTGCGTTAGGTATTGCCCTTGAACCCATTGACGGAGCACCCTCCCTGTATTACACACACACACACATACACACACACACACACACACACACCCCTCCAGGAACCTGTGGTTTGGCACTTGGAGACCTAGAATGAGAAAAAGTCTCAGTGTGTGGAGTCAAATTAAATCTCACTTTCTTTGCCGGGCCCCAAGGCATGAGGCTTTGACATAATCCGATTAGGGGTGAAGGACGGGAGGAGGATCAGCATGAATGCATGGAAGAAATAGCCTTCTGGGTCAACTAGATCAGACTCCTGTTTTCTGGGAGAGAAGGCAGTTGTAAGGTGAAGAGCTCAGAACTGTCTTCTGAGAAGGCAAGGTGAGAAGCAAGTAAGTTTAGAAACAGCGAAGTGCCTCCTTTTCACTGCCAAGAAGTGGACCTTGGGAAAGTGAGTCCAGGCTCAGGAAGGAGGTTTTGAAGAGGGCCCAGAGCTCTAGAGAGAGCCCAGCAGGGGGTGAGGAGTGGACTGAGGGAAAATGGAGATGAAGAATAGGAGACAGAAACCCAGCTGGAGCCATGACTCAGCACTTCTCCTGGTTGGGGGGGGGGGGAGGAGGAGAGGGGGACTCTCCCAGTACAGCGGCAGCAGAGAGGGGAGGGGAGCAAGACAGCAAATGGGCGACCATTTGCATAATACATGCATTGATATACAACAAAAGGCACACATTTTAACCCAGAAGTAGGTACATATGCATTTATACTGATGAAGATTTTTTCAATTGTAACATACACATCTCCATTCCCACCTTCCCTGCCCCACTTCCTGGAGCAGAGGACATCCTGTTCTGAGAGTTATGCTTGCCTGCCCTTAGAATACCTTGGTACTTAATGGGAAAGGAGAAACAAAAAATTGCAGAGTTGGGGGGGGGTGTTGTCATGGTAACTGCCTTGCTTGCCAGGCAGGATGCCCAGCAACCAGAGCATCTGGCAGTATCTAAGGGGACATCCTGTGGCCTCTATCCACCTGAGGACTCTGCCTCAGGCATTCAAATAGGCATTTCCGGAAGATTTTTACAGTAGGGGCTGCTTTGGCAGCTAGGTGTGGGGCCTGACCTTCATCATGTGCCCTACTTTAAGTGGTACTGCTGACCCCTTTACACATCATACATGCTATTTGCCGAGAGTGGCCTCAAGATAGCACAGAGCTCAACAATTTAAATACCATTATTAAGACCATTATCTTGCCTCTTAGCACCTTGCCAGACACCCTACAAGAAGACACCCTACAATGAGAGTGTATTTTACCTACACAGGCTAGATATGTAAATGAGATGTAGAAAAAATGGTTTTAGTTCACTGTGGTAAAAGATTGGGTACAAAATAGACCACAGGGCACAGTCTTAGGATTCAAGTTCCTTTGAGCAGATTAATACATAGATGAGGTTTTCAGAGTCAATTTCTCTGATGCACTTGCAGACTAGCTAGCTGACTTTTCACTCCAGTGGCCCCACCACTGCCTCCTTTCTCAGTATTCAGGTTTAACCTCGTAGTTTCTGGCTTAAAATGCTCCCAATTTAGTTTGGGCTTTCAGGATTTTCCCCCTAGATTTTCCCCCACTATTTCTTCAGCAATTAGCTGCTCCCAAATTCTCTTTCTACTTGGAGATATAGCCCACCCCTTGGTTATGGTCTCCTGTGATTAATGTTTAGCGTTAAGCCCATAAATCATACAATTAGTCTCTCTGAGTACATTCTTGTATGTGACAACCTAGAAGGAAGGAAAGGTAATAATCCTATATAATAAAGAGCTAATATGCTAATTAGACCTTGCAGACGTCCTTCCGGATGACCTTCTGGATGAAGCCAGGGCTGCAAGGGCTGAGCCCCTTGCACGAATTTCATGCATTGGGCCTCTAGTAAACAATATAAATAGGAAAAGAGGTATTTCTTTACAATCTTTTACATTTTACTCCTTAAAAAAATAATTTATGTTATCCCAGGAAAACACAGACTATGGAGAAAAGCCCCAAAAGGAAGTATAATGATGGAGAACTTGTCCTACCAGCTATTAAAATGTATTATAGATCTAAGTAGCTAAAATATATGGCACTGATACAGGAACAGACAAATCCATAGAACAGAAGGCATAACCCAAAGTTAAACTTCAACAATTGTGGTAATTTAATATATGATAAAGGCACCACTTCAAATCCATTGGAAAAAGATGGATTAGTTAGTAAATGGTTTTGCTACAACTGAGTAGTCATTTTTATGAAGGAAAAGGTCAATTCTTCCTCATTTTTTACCCCAAAATAAATTTCAAATTGATTTTTAAAATTAAGTAAAAAGCCATAAAAGCCTTAGAAGAGGAGAAATTTCAAAGTATCTATTAAAATTCAAATGCACATACATTTTTACTCAGGAATTCCAATTTCTAGTATTAACCCTAGAGAAATATTTAAACATGTGCACAAGGAGACATAACAGATATTTTTAACATTGCATTATTGTTTGGAGGGAGACAACTTGGAATCACCCTAAATATCTGCCCATAGGTTAGGGGTCAAATAAATTTTGAGACATCCAAATTACTGACCGTAGTATTCAGTTAAAAAGAGTGGATTGGACTGTATGTACTGATGTGAAAGATATCCAAAGCATATTGTATTATGAATAGTTGCATGACAATACATACAGTACAATACCATTTATGCAAAAGCAAACAAATCAAACTAAACTATAATTTCTGTGTGTGTGTGTGTGTGTGTATACAAAATAGAAGCTTGAGAAAGATGTACATCATTCTTAAAAAGTGACTTCTGGGGATGAACTGGGATAAATGTCTAGAGGACTTTCACCTTCTCTGTGGAGTTTAAATTTTTTTCCCACTGTGTAACTCACTTCAATGCCTGCAGCCTATGGGCAGAGGCCAGACAGTGGGTCAAGGCCACAGTTTGCTCTGACATGGGTCACTATGAGGAGTTTAATTTTTAAAAATAAAAATGCATGAGTATGTTGTTTTCATAATTAGAAAATAGTAATTAATATATGACTATATAGTCAAATATTAAATAAAAATACTTGGATAAAATATGAGTTATTTATGGTATTGTTATTATTGCATCTTGGGTTGGATGGAGAACATCTTTTTTGAGATAGAGAGACCTTAAAGGAGAAGATTGATTCATCTGACTCCATTTGAGCTTTTGAATGTAAGTAAGAGAAATAGAGAAAGAAAAATAACAACCAAAGCAAGATTGAAAGACAAATGACAAGCCGAGAGTACATATTTACAACACAATATATTTTCAAGGTATAGTTAAAACCATAAAGAGGTAAGTCACACAAAAATGTAAATAATCAATAAGTACATAAAAATATATTTAACTTCATTATTGACCGTCCTAAGAAGTTCAAATCTAAACAGTAATGGGGTATTGAATCTCTCATACTGACAAAGGTTATAAAAATGGAACATTTGAAACCATGAAAAAACTGAGGGAAATGTACACTTCCTCACCATGCTTGTAGACATACATGTTTGTTTAGTCTTTTTGGAGAGCAACTTGGCTATTTGACCCAGCTACCACATTTTCAGAAATTTACCCTAAGAAGGTAAGCAGGGAAAAACCTGATTCAAGGATGTTTATCATAACTTACTTTATTTATTTATTTTTAATCCTCACCCGAGGATATTTTTCCATTGATTATAGAGAGAGTGGAAGGGAGGGGGTGTGACAGAAAGAGAAGCATCAATGTTGGAGAGAGACATCGATTGGTTGCCTCCCACTCACACCTTAACCAGGGTAGGGGATTAGCCTACAACTGAGGTACGTGCCCTTGACCAGAATGGAACCTGGGACCCTTCAGTCTGTGGGCCAATGCTCTATCCACTGAGCTAAACCAGCTAGGGCCATAACATTATTTATAATGATAAAAAATGGATACATCAATAAGAGATTAAGTAAATTGTGATAAATGAATATTCATTGGGATATTATGGACCATTAAAAATTATGCATCAGTCTATATTGGCATGAAAAATGACCATGACAAAGTGAAAATAGCAGGTTAAAAATAATATGAGAGAGACACCTTTAAATAGCTGTCCTCTTCTTGTCATTCAAATCTCTACTTAATAGTCCCTCTTCCTGATGAATTCATCTCAGCCTGCCCCACAGTCACCCTCCATCACATACTCCTGATTTTTCTTCATAGCATTTGTCACCACCTGATAAAATTCTATCTTGTTCACTGCTAGAGTCCTTGTACCTAGCAAAGTGCTGGACACACAGTAGGCAGTCAATAGATATATTACAGATTGTATGTGTGCACAGGTGGGAACTTTTAGGATGTTGATTAAAATATTAATAGTTCTCTCTAAGTGGTGGAATTTTAATTTAAAATTTTTAAATTAATTTTGAGGTAACATTGGTTAATAAGTTTATATAAGTTTTGAGTGTACAATTCTATAATACTTCAACTGTATATTGCATTGTGTGTTCACCACCCAAAATTAAGTCTGCTTCTGTCACCATATATTTGACCCACTTTACCCTATTTTACCTCCCCCAACTTTCTATATGGTGGGATTGTAAATGACCAGTTTTACTCCCTTAGTCCTTTACTGAGTTTTCTAGTTGGTAATGATGATAATGACGATGATGAAGAAGATGATGATGATGATCTAAAAAAAAAAAAAAAAAGAAAGAAAAATCATAAAGAAAGAAAAAGAGCCCTAGCTGGTTTGGCTCAGTGGATAGAGTGTCGGCTTGCAGGCTGAAGGGTCCCAGGTTCGATTCCAGTTGAGGGCACATGCCCGGGGTGTAGGCTCAATCCCCAGTAGGGGGCGTGCATGAGGCAGCCGATCAATAATTCTCTCTCTTCATTGATGTTTCTATCTCTCTCTCCCTCTCCCTTACAAATATTTTTAAAAGAATGAAAGAAAGAAAAAGACAGGAAAGAAAGGAAAGAAGGAAGGATGGAAGGGAGAGAGGGAGGGAGGAAGGAAGGAGGAAAGAAAGAAGAAAAATATGAGGCTGAGCAGTGTCTGGAAAAGGAGAAAAACAGCCCTAGCCAGTTTGGCTCAATGGATAGAACATCGGCCTGGGGACCGAAGGGTCCTGGGTTCGATTCCAGTCAAGGGCACATACCTTGGTTGCTAGCTCCTCCCCGGCCCAGGCTCTGGTCTGGGCTCATGCAGGAGGCAACCAATCAATGTGTCTCTCTCACATTGATGTTTCTCTCTGTCTTTCCCTCTCTCTTCCACTCTCTCTGAATATCAATGGAAAAATATCCTTGGGTGAGGATTAAAAAAAAAAAAAAAAGGAGCCCTGCCCCACTCGTCTCTCACACATTTCCAAAGTCTCTTCACTCCCTTCCACCACCACCCCAAGCTGTCACGAAATTCCTCAGATTTATGAATTTCCCTTGCTGGACAAGAGCAGTTAGACACTTATTTAGCCCAGCAAGCATGTGTATGTACACACACAGCACAGGTATGGTGCATGCACATACACAGAAAATGGACACACATATGTACACACCCTTACAAGGATCCGTGCAAGACCATTCAAAGAAGACGTAACTGCCATAGAAGACCCATTTTTCCTCATTCAAATAATAAATTTTTCTCTTCACATTAACTTACTCACATTCTTTATTTAAACAATGAGCACACTGCCTGGCAATGTAGTAGGGTCTCAGAAATATGAAATGGGTAAGTGATAACAGTTTCTATGCTTATCTTTGGTTGCCAAAAAATACACAACAAATATGTGTGTATATATCTTTTGGACACAACTGTGATAACTAACTCCTCCTAGATGCTTGATATTTCTCTTCTCTTTTTGAATGCTCTTGTTTTGTTTTGTTTTTTGCTGGATTTGGAGGTTAGGTTTTGTTTTTTAATTTTATTCTGCTACTTTTATAGTATCTTTATTTTATTCTTTAATCTATTTTGGAATTTATTTTTGTATGCAGCAAGAAATGGATAGTAAGTTGTACCAACCTTTGAACAGTTTTCCTGTTCCCCCAGTGAATGCCATCTTCATTTTTTTATGAAATCCCCACATATACATGGATCTGTTCCTTGGTGCCATTGGTCTGCTTGACTATTTCTGCCAAACCACACCTTCAATAACTGTAGTTTTGCAGTGTACTCATTATTCTTTCGCTAAAATTGGCTTGGCTATTCTTAAATGTAGCCCAGAAGAACTTTAGAACCAAGCCTGTCAATTTCCATAAAATTTCTTTGGGACTGTATCACTTTCATAGATCAATTTGAACAGATTTGACATTTTGCAAAACTGAATCATTCCACCCAGGAACATGCTAATTATTCCATTTATTCAGGTCTTCTTTTACATTCCATTGTTAAGATTTATAACTTTTTCATTTAAATGTTTTCCATGTTTTTCATTATGTTCATCTGATAGTATATTTTTAATTGTTGTTGTAAATCCATTTTTCCCATTATTTTTACAGAGTTATAGGAGAACCTTAAGTTTAAATTACGTTAATCTTATATCTTACTGGATGTACTCATTTCATTCGTTCTTAATTGTTTTCCAGTTGAATTTCTTAGATTGCCTAGGTAGGCAATCATATTGTCTGCAAGAAGTCTACTTTAATATCTTCCTTTCCAATATGTGCATACAGCATATATCTTTTCTTGTCTTATTACTCTAGTAGAGTGTTTAGTGGTAGCAATAATGACAGGTCAGAAGGGGTAAAAAGGACATCCTTGCCTTGTTCATGACTTATGAAAATGCTTCTCATATTTCACCAGCTGCTTTTTTATTTATTTTAAAACGGAATATTCTGTTTTGTGTATCTTGCTATATATACACAAGACCATTTTTTGGATGTCAATAAAACTTTGATCAAAATACTCAAATTGGCTGTTCAGTGTAGAACACCAACTGAGCTATGTTGGCCTAGATGCTCCTGGTGTGTGTAATTCAGGAATAGAGGACAGGGTGGCTGAATGTCTCCCCGGGACTCCTTCCTCCCCTCTGACATGTAAAGATATTGTGATGTGATGAACAAAAGATTATGAGTCAGAGGTTTGAGTCCTTACTCTATCATTTACTAACTGTTGACCTAGGACAGTTATCCAACCTCTCTGAATTTCATTTTCTCATCTATCAGATGGAAACAAGGATATCAGATTTGTTGTGGCTATCAAATGGCTATGATAGGAATGACAATATAACTGTTGCTAGGGTAACAACCATTGCTATGGTAGTCAGCACTTTTAATAAATATTGACAGAAGGATTAAGGGACCACTACAGAGTCCAGAATGAAGCCTGGGGCTGCTCTGACCAGCTCTGCTGGCCTCTGAGGCAGCTCAGAGCCGTGGAGGCTTGGGCCTCCCATGAGCTATCTGTGACTGGGTGACTTATATTTATTTCTTGCTGCCAGGACTTGGTCCCAGTAGGATCCACATGCCTCTCTCTGGAATGCCAGCCAGGAGACTTGCTTCAGCTGCTAGTGTGTAGATATTTGTGCCAGCCTGGCCTAGCACAGCAACATTCCTGAGAAGGCCAGACCCCTCTTGGGACTCTCCATTCCAGGGATGCCCCTGCCCCAGGCTGGTTGGGGCCAGCAGGGAAGAACAGCTGATCTCTGCCATCACAACGTACCTGCTTTGTGACTGGTGGGAGGGAAGGGATAGAGGGGTGAACCTTGGGGCATCTGGGGACACTAGGCATGAAATAACTTCAAACTGAGAGCACATGGAAAAGTGTGTACACATGTGTGTACTAATGCCTGGACTAAGATCCATGCTACAACACGTAATGGAAATATGCTGAGATTTGTAGAAAATCTGGATCCTGCTATTCCCTCACTGTGGAACCTTGAGACTTTCCCCCTCACTGTCACATAGAATTAAAGAGGCTGTTGTAAGTATCAGGTGAAATCATATGGATGTGCTTTGTCAGCTGTAAAGCACAGTACACATTATAAGGTGGTCCTGAGTCTGGCCCTTAGGTACTTGGTCACAGGTGTG